TATATATATATATATATACAAAGACATCTAAATTAATTACCCAATTAAAACGTTTGCAGATGTAGTCATCCCCTTTAACTGGAGTGCCAATTAGTTTCAGAAGTCACATCGGTCCGACAGTATCGTGGCAAAACTTACACACTGAGGACAAAACAAAGCTCCGAGGAACTAATAAGGTGATTAAAATGCATCATGGAAACCTCCAAGGGGTAAATACCATGTTATAGGCACTGTTTGAGCAAGAATCATGCCCTCCATTACCTGTAGTAATCAGCTGCCTGCATACCCCCGTCATAGCTTGTTAATTGATAAGGCAACATAAGTGTTGTCCACACCTGTAGACAGAAGCACATCTATTACTCTGCTTTTAAAATGTCATTTCTGTCTAAGGGAGGTGGAAAAGGGAACTTACAGGTTCTGGTCTCTCGCTCCAGTTCAGAGGGCTTCTTCTCCTTGTTACACAGCACCTTGGCCACAATGACTATAACGATGACGGCTACAACAAATGTTAGGCCAGACACAAGCCAGCTGATCACCATTGGACTGAGGACTGGATCTGGGTCTGAGGGGGAGAGGACTTCTCTGTAAGTTACATACAGGATGGCTTTTCATAGTTAGAGTTTAATCTACTGCCGCGACTAACTCGCAGCTGAAAAACAGACGCAAACAAGAAACACAAAAAAGCTGTACAGAATAACTTTGGTGTGCACATATGTATGCTATTCTTTACCTATATGATCCATCTATGGTCTGGTGTCTATAATATTATCAGTTTTACCTCTGATGGCTATAGGCAGGGGCTGGCTTTCTCTGGACACGAAGGTGCGTCCCCCCAGCTGGACCCGATACAGGCAGTAGTAATAGCCCTCGTTGGAGCTCTGGGCGTTGGGAAATGTGAACGTGACGGACGGGGTTAGGGCAGGCAGGGACTGGCGCACTGTGCCGTTGGAGCGGATCAGACGCAGCTGGAAGGAACCTCCAGGGTACTGCTGCGGGGTGGAGCAGGTGATGTTAAAACTGTGGCCTTTAAGGACGGAACCAGCCGGGGCCTCAGTGGACGTGTTGTACCAGTGGTGGGGGGTCAGGAGCTCCACTTTGATCAGGTGAAAAGAGGTTTAATAGGTTATTCGGGGTAATATAGAGTTTGAGAAAGAAAAACAAAAAGAAGTCCCACCTTTCTTGAAAAGATGGAGGAATCATTTTCCTTCTAACACTTTAATGTTTTTATCACATATTCTAAAATATAATGGCCTTTTCAGTGAGGTTGTTGATTTTATTGTGAGAGTCCTGTATTAACAATAAACAACAAAAATGTGAACATTAACATCAGGCCACAGCTATTCACATGTTGAGCCATGTTTGAGTCACTTTTCTTCCACTTTACCTGCGTAACTACAAGGATTGTGTGCTGAGCTGAGAGCGCTGCCTAAACCCTAGTGACCTGAACGCATCCTGTTTAGACACAGGAGGAGAACTGAAGTGTGCTGCTGCTAACGTGCTGCTCACGCTGAGCCTCCTGTGTAGACACGGAAGTAAAGTATCATCGTGTGACGTCTTTGACCGAAGAAGCCTGTGAGATGCAGGACGTTTGTGTTTAGATTACGTATATTGTTACACATACTACTCCCACGGGCAACAATGGACTTCCATCCAGCTTTGATGTGCTGTTAGTTAGGAGTACAGGACTTTAATAAAATGAAATCAGACCTGATTCAAGGACAGGAACTTCAGGTTCCATCGGGCAGAGAATAAAATGTCTCGTATAGGTTGCACAACAAAACAATGTGCTATAGAAACGGGCACTGGTAATCTGGATTAGACAATGCGGTTACGACTCACCAACAGTGATGTTGATGGAGTTGCTGGGTGGAGAGCTGAGCAGCTGAGAAGGGAAGCCGCCCTTGATCCTGTACCGACAACTGTAGCTGCCCTGGTGGAAGGTCTCTATGTCGGACAGTGTCAGCTCCACTCTGGTCTGGGTCTGGTCCGCCCTCTGCGTAACCAGTGGTGTGGACACTCCATGCTTGTACAGGTGGAAGTCACTGAGGTGGTGACCCAGCAGAACACTGCAGCTGAAGCGAACAGCCTCCCCGGGACAGAACACAGTGTGAGGCGAAAGCAGGTTGAGGGTGGGCATCAAAAGGGTACCTGTGAGGAAAGACACCATAATGGTAATAAAAGGTTTGACCAGTTAACACTCTGACCTGGACATAAGACACGGCAGGATAACATATGAACCTCAGTGCTTAGATAATGTCTGTCTATTCCAGCTATTTGTCCAGATTAAATACTCAGTTTAAATAAATGAGTCAAGCATCAGGCACTGCTCCTTGTTTAATGAAACAGAGCAGAGTCTCACCTGAGCATTTCACCCCTGCGTCATTCTCGTGGGTGCAGTAGGTGTTAGTGTGCAGGACGACAGCACAGCGGGTCAAACTGGACTCGTGTCCAGAGCACTGGACATGCCGCAGCCAGATCTCTCCCTCGCCTGCACCAAATACTGCACCATGAAGGGCAGATTCAGCTAAGCCACAGCCCAGCTCCAGGCACACCACATCGGCCTCCCGGAGGTCCCAGCCGTGGTCGCAGACAGTCCCCCACTGGTCATGGCGGAGCACCTCCACTCTGCCAGAACACTTGTTCTCACCGTCCACTAGCCTGACTCCACCTGTGGGTCAGAGACAGCGTTAGTGGGACAGAAAGTGTGGGGAACGGCTGTGGATGCAGCAGGTTTATATCAATCCCAGGCTCACCAAACGCAGCAACTCCATCCCACAGAACACCAAACAGGCCTGTGAAGAAATTAAACATACAGATTATCATCAGGCAAAGACACACGATTGTTGTTCAGAGTTGAAACTGTTTTCGAGAGGCGTTGATTCAACTTTATGATCATTGTGGAGGCTGTATTGAATTGTCCTGCATTACACACAGAGGTGTTTCTAATACCTATTTACCTATAACAGGTTGTACTAAACACCTCTCAGTATAATACAATACTACAACCTCCGACATAACTATACATTTTAATGAACGCCTCCCTAAAACAAACACCGAACAATATAACCTTTATGAGGATAACTACTGTTTATTATAGGACTGTTGTATTAGACTGCTTTGATTTGAGTGAGCTAAGGCTAGGTGGACCCGATATGTTGTGTACATTACAATGGTAAGCGTTAATTAAAACGTTATTAGATTGTCAAAAATGTCAAGTCATAGCGTAATTACAGGATACTTCGGAGCTCAGAAATACGAAAACACACTATATTTTCTTCGACGAATATGAGGCAGTAACCCATTTAACCGAGCTAAGTGCAGCTCGAATAAGTGCTGGTTAAGTTGTCCGGTTGCATAATGAACCGTGAGCCACCTCGCTGGTCCTGCCGCGGAGCTAGCTGGCAAAACGAGCCTGAGCTACCAGGAATATGCGCCTGTGCTCACCTGTTAAAAGGATATGGAGGAATGTGAGCATCGTCCCCCTCACCCGTCCATCAGCCAGCCGGGTGGGAAGGAGCCCCGTTGTCGTGGTGATGATGCTGACAGCCGTTGAACGCTACCGATCGCACGAGACATTAGCTAGCTTGTGTGCTACAAACGCTTGGATTTTTTGGGCTAACTTAACTGGGAAGCTAACGGCTAACGACTAACGGCTAACGGCTAGGCAACTTGGACCAACCGTACGTTACGGCCGTTGGAGGCATTGTCGAGAACTGAGGGAAACGCTAACGTTAAAGCGCTGGCACATTTAAGTTTCTTTTTTTGAGATTAAAACAAAAACAAAAACAAAAACAAAAACAAACAAAAAATGCGAAATGCAGCTGGTGAGTCCCGGGCTGCTGTCATTATAACATGGTGTCCGTGAGAGGGGTCGGGACGGCGGCAGGGAAAAGCTTCATGCCGTCAGGCCGCCATACTACGTCAACGGTCGCTGAGCCGTTCTCCCTGCGGCAGACAGAGGTCACCATAAGCTGCATGTAAACCCATTAGTTCCTCCTTACTGGGAGTTATGGACTACATGTAACTCAGTTAGGTCATTTAGGATACCACAAAGGATAACAGTTTCATTTAGTTGAAAAATAGGGATTTTAGTTATAATATAAAATACATACATTCAACAAAAAAAATGGAGAGCAGAGGACAAAGTTTTGATGCTAAAAATGTTCAATTTGTCCATCTTTTTAAAGGTTACATTGTTCAATTAATCTTAAATCAATACTTGTTATTGGCATTTCTTTTCTCTTGTCTTTGCATATTTGATGCAAAGTAATGGGAAGTAATCCAGTTATATTACTTTAATATTGTGATATTTGGTGAATTGAATAATTAAATAGCTACAAACCCTACCCTACAGAGTGATTGTACAGTGGTATACTTTAATAAGTATGCACTTGATTTATCCAACAAACCAACTTTCTATAGAAACATAAATTTAGTGATTATTCAGTTTGCTCCTCACCCAGTCTATAAAGTCTTCTGTGGTTCTGGAGGAGCTCTCAAATAAAGCATTTACTCTTTGCTATTTCCTTTTTGAAATGTGTCTTGACTTTGCTGAATGGTCTTGAGTAGTTGTGACATTTTGACATGAAACAGCAGGGTAGGTTTTCACAGTGCTGACTCCCTCTCAGCTTTCAGCCACATGACCCATTTGTGTCATGTCTCGTCTGTATTTCACTTTCAACGCCATGACCAGGGCCTGGATCAGTTATGCAATATAAAAGAGCGCCTTGCATTTTTGATTAAGTTACCACACAGCAAATCTGGAGCCTGTTAAGTGCTCCAGCACAGATCGAGTACCGCTGTCTCATAATAAGTCACCATTTACAATGGGTGTATAAGCTTCTTTACTAATGGTAAATACCTAATTTACTTATGCTTTAAAGATAGATTATAATTAGGTTTCACCTTTTCAAGTCTATCTTAAAACAATACTATATGCCATGTGTAAAGTGAAAGCATAACTGGTCCCTGTAATTGTTCCTTCTGTACATACTGGCTACAGATACATAATTAACTGCAATTAATTCTTCTTTTTACATTTAATTTAGCTACAGTGTACAGATTTACTTTCATAATTAGTCAAAAAAGGAAAATACTGTCTGTGGAAGCACAAAGGGGGAATTTCATACTTAGTACTAGTTGTAATATTTGATTAACTATCAACATTTGTGTAGCTGCAGAATTGATGACTTATTAAGAAATTTAGACTCACTTTACCAATGAGGAAGAGAAACAACAGCAAAAGCTCGCAGCCTAAAAATGTGCTTATTAATCACCTATAACTGATCTATAAAGCATTACTAAATGATTTATTAGCATTAATAAAAACATGAATTGCAACGTATAAAGTGTTTATAAAGGGTCACGTATTGTAAAGTGGTCCCCTGTTGTAGTGGGAGGAACAGGCGTTACTATGGGACCAGCAGCTCCGTCACTATCTATGTAGACACAAATATCCACAGTGAGATTTAACACCAACACAAGTCTCCTGCTGCCGCCTGCCCACTTAACACCATCTGGTCACGAGGCTTTTCTTCCGTGTTGGAGAGGAGAGTGTGGATGAATCAACCGAAACCGTAACAGGAAGAAGACATTTTTGCTGATTCATGTCTGAGTTGCAGTTCTGACTAAGTAAAGTGACGAACCCAATAAATGCCCAGAGGCTTTTTTTTCCATTTTGTAGCATTTTCCTGGAATAGATGACAAGGTTTCCCTGTTAGTGCCGGGTGGGCCATCTTCTTTATGTGTGTTTGTATTTTAAGTACCTCATATCGGTATCTAATTTGTTTCCATGAATGGCCACGAGTCATCAGGAACAGACACCTCTCCGAGGCCGGGAAGGTTTGTGAAGGAAGCAGATAAAATGAAACAAAATACAGACAAATCCTGAAAACCTGCTTCAGTCTGGAAGATAACTGCGACTTGGCAGAAGATTTATTTTCCATGCACGCCACAGAGGCTCCAAAACAACAATGTTCTTGAAGTCTTGAAAGTGGCCAAATTGAAGTCTAAACCTCAATTCGACCCATAATTGGTGGTAGGACTTGAGTTGAGTCACAGTACCCATGCAACTTCAAAGACCATGGTCAGTTATACAAAGAACAGGAACAAACTGCAGTGTGGATGTGTAAAACTAATATCACACACACTGACTTAAGACTAACTGCTGCTAAAGGTGACTTCACAATTACTGTAAATTATATAAATATAATTTAGGTCAATATGTACACTTTTCCTTTGGCATCAGATATTCTCTTTTTTTTATGATTATAAATCATAAGAGCCACAGCTCAATGTTGTAAAACAAACCATGAAAAAGTCCAAGGGGCTGAACACGTCTTATAGGCATATGTGAAAGACTTGTTTCTGTGTGACCGTAGGTGAAGCAGGTATTACTGCAAAAAAGTAACACATTCTCAGCAACTTACACTACATGGAAGAAAACAATTAAAAAACACAAACCTTACGTCCAGTCGTAGCATAAAAGCACTACCTCGTGTTTTAAGTACATTTTAGGGATTATTCTGATGCTTTGACTTTAATTCCTTAAAAGAAAGCTCTGACTGAAGATTCTTCCCCCTCTCAAATGTACATGTTTACATGTCAGAACTTAACTGACCAACTAGTCCCTTTAGTATTCTGATTTGTTATTGAGACATCTTAAAAGTGCAACAACCCTGCTCTACAATATGTGCTATGTGCTTACCATAAAAATTGATTTTTGTATTAAACAAAATACCTTCAGTATTGGGGTCAACCACCAACGGATGTAGTTTCTTGATGCATTTTATTGAGCCACTGGTCAAATAAGCATCTGAGTTCTCATTATAATGCAAAAGGTGACTGTTTTTTTAACAAAGAAAACATACAGATAAGCCTGTATATATATTTATATGTATGATAAATCTCTATGTAATTCAAAATTCAAAACCAGCACGTTGTATTTGTGAAACAGAAATCTCAAAATGATCTGTGTGACCATTACATTGCGAGGAACAGCACTATTACTAGCACTTTATCTGAATTACTCCCCATCATTTACTAAATGAGTCGCGCGTGTTGGTACATTTACCACTGATAAAACAAAACAAACACTGTCATAAAATAACAAAACATAAAATAATTTAGTTAACTTAACACTAGTCCTCTAAAAAGATGACCTTTTTCACAGGTTTGGAGTTTTAATAAAAGTACCACGACTTCTTAAGTAGTTTTGATAAACTCCTAACGACAAGCTTTGAATAAAATAATGTGTTTAGCTCTTTGGATAACAGTACAACCTGCTTCAGTTCCACCATAAAAGTCTCTGTAGCACCACATTGAAAAAATGTTTGTGCTGAATTTTTAAAAAGTCTCTTGCCCAGTGTGTCTTCTGTGGCATCCATCGTTTGTCAGGGAAATCCTTTTTCCTGACAAACTTTCATGCGTTTCTTTACTTGGAGTCTCCCAGCAGATGGACAAGGAGTTCGTATGTGGAGAGGACGATTGCTGTGTTAGGGATTTGTCTAATTAGCTGTGGAATGAGTCCTCTATAAAAAGCTGCATAGCCTTCCTCCACCGCTATTAACCTCCCTGTCTGGAAGAAATACTTGTACTTGCTGCCTTCCTCACGCAGCCTTGTCCGAATGACCTCTGTGGAGGAACAAAAAGAGAACAAAAAAGGTATTATTCTTTTATATAAATACTTCTCCTGGACAATAGATGGACAAACAATAAGGATGCAAGTGTTTACCGTGTGGGTAGGCTATACAAGACGCACAACCCTTTGAAAAAGCAGCTGCCATCATCAGACTCAGGAAGTCTGATGCTCCTTTCTCCTGGTTCTTGGCAAGGTTTTTCTTCAGTGTCTCGTAGATCAGGAAGCAGATCATCGTCTCCGAGATGCCAGCGTAAGATGCAGTCAGGCCTCGGTAGAAGCCCCGAATCCCTTCTGTTTTGTAAACATAGCGGGCACACTGCAGTGCATTCATCTTCTTCTCTCCTCTGGCTCTAAAAAGTCAAACCAGTCAGGTTCATTAGTGCCAAAATCACAACTATCTTAACGGTTTATGATCATCAATCATACAATCTTCATACAGTTCTCCCCAGCATTTTTTACTTGATAAATGATCAAAACTGGAACCTGTTAATCTTCTGTATCGTCTAAGCTAAGATTAGTCAAATTTCAACCCTATAAGGAAGCATGTAATATTCTCGGGTTTCCTTATTGGATTGAATGAGTAACTCGTATCACCTGCCTGAGATACAATCATTTCCTCCTCATTCATAAAGCAACAATTCTGCACTGCAGGACAGGTGCTCTTTAAAGACAGAGTGAAAAGACGTGTTCCTGTGACCTCACACGATACTACTGCCCTGTACTCAGTAATGTAAATATAGACTCTTCTACTGCACGCAGGACAGTGCGTCAGCACTGTGTATTTATGGAGTCAGATCACAAGCTCAGTCTCGCCTGCTGCATAACCCAAGGACAGTGCCGTGAAGGGGGGCTCTGTTAAAGGTTTCTGCTAAAGGTCACATAATATGGCGTGCCCTCAGCTTACTACTAAAAATGTAAGTTCACACAGGGCAAGCAAAATTAAGAGGGTACACACTTTTTCTCCAGCTGCATCCTGGTCTTCACCATCCAGATGGGGTTCATCAGAGAGTTAGTAACAAAAGCTGAGGATGGGGGACAAAAGAAGCATATTCAGTTTTATACTGCAGCACAACATAAGATTCAGTTCATCCTCTCAATGTAACTTATAACAACTAGGTATGGATACAAGTGTTTTTGTTGCGCTCAAATTCACTGAAGGGATTCCAGTGGGCTCACACGGCCAGAAGAATAAACATCTGCAAAATATAATGCAGTCAGATATGCTCTTTTACTATAATGTTCAATTTACGAACTTCAAAAACGGCTCATGTAGGATTTGTTTTTTTATTTACAGTGTAAAACTATTTTTGCAGAGCACTGGATTGCATTACATTTTACAGCTGTTCACATGACGCCCATTACATGTATGTAGACTGCTCACCTGCAACACCAGCAGAGGACATGTGCACCACTCCACTATTAGGGACAAACAGTCCATTGAACATCTCTTTAGATTTCGAGTATGCAGCAAAGTAAATGGCCCTGAAACACAGAGAACAACCTGGTAAGAACTCTACACAGTGGCAGCTGTAAAGATTAACACACACGGCTTAAATATGAATGTGGGTTTTATAACAGCTGGGCAATTATGCAAATGATTCAATTTGGACTTGTGTTGGCCATTGACAGAGTGCATCCAGAGCAGTCGGGTGCTGCTCTCTCCGCTCGGCTTCTGGAACAAACCGTCACTGCACCAGAACGGGCTGAATAAGCACTGGGCACTGCATATGCCCACAGAGCTGCTATGAATGTGAGCCTGTCCAAGCTGAGCAGTGGAACGAAGGCCGGTGGAATAACTGAGCAAAGGATCATTCTGCAGCTACTCATTAACCACTGGGAAAATATACACAACCCATGACCTTTTTTCGGTTTAACACAGTGTCAAAGTCTGATCAACATATTGTGGCAAACGCATTAGGACTATTCCTTTTACGGTTATATCACCGCTTTAAAGAAGAGTTTATTTTCAAGATTTTAAACCGTGACTGAACAGGGCAAAGTGCTGAGCATTTGTTGACACTAAAAATAGAGCAACAGTGAATTTGAAACTTCACAAGGTACACCCACATAAAACAGAACTTGTGTTCAATGTAAACGTTCACACACCAATAAAAGAACAGATCAATTATTATCCAGCTGTTCTCATTACCGCTTCAGTAAAACTCAATCGAACCGTTAAACATAGTTTCTTTATTTGTTCCTTATCTTACTTGCCTCAAGTTAAGAAAATGTTTAATTAACTACAAATACAGAGGCCTACTCATGTTGACTAAACTAAACAGCTGACTCACAAAACTCTGAGGCTAGGAGGGTCACGGAAGTCGTTGTCATGGCAACGGCTTCCTGTTTATAAAGCCAGTAACTGCCTTCAACCGTTAAAGAGAAAAATATAAACACAGACCCCTCCTTATTTTTGTTTTCTTTGTTCAGCGGTTTCTGGTATAACAACCTGTAAAGTGAGACTCTACGGAGAAACCCACACTCTGCTTCACTTCGTGGCCTTCTTAACCTCTGCTTTGCTTCATATGTTTGAATACAAGGACACGTCATTGTGTGTCCTCAGTAACCTGTACAACAGGCAGGTCATTAACACACAGGTTTCCTTTGTTAATCCAAACTGCTATGACAAAGGATGGACCGCCCAGATATAACCAAAACGTGTTGTGTAGACACTTTCACTGTACCTCGAGGGGGCGACACCAACAAGGTTCGGCCCCAGGCCACGGAAAAGTGATCTTGGTCCCTCTTTTTCTAGAATTGATCTGAAAACAAACAAAAAACAGCCATTAATTATCAAAAACACACAATACAAATTACTAATTTATTTTATTCATCTTTAGAGTTTAATATTGATATACACCATTGCACATGTTAAACTGTCTCTACATATGTAGAGTATGACAGCTGCCTCTCCTCTGGTGCTGTGTGCAACCCTTAATTAATTACTTATATTGGCTTTTTGTTTTTTTAGTTGCACTTGCAGTGGCCTGTTACGTGTGCCTTTTAGATTTCTACCACTGTCTCCTCCGAGCACAGGCAGCCCTGTCCGCTGCAGAGTTTCACTGCGGGCGGGGCTGCTCCTGCTCTCTCTCAGAGCTCAGAGTGAAGGAAAGAAAGAGCTGCACTGTACAAAAGGTTTGTGAGAAAAAGAAAGAAAGCTGTAATTGGATCAATAAAGCTCAACATAGGAACGATACCGTTGCTGAGATCGGATTGGGACATCCCTTTACAAGTCTTCTGATTTTCTCTGATCTTTGGATTAGGGTGTTCCTAATAGTGTGTTTGATCATCTCCCTCACTTTGTAGATTTTGTTTTATTTCAAAGACAATGTCCCTGTAGTAAGTTTGTGATTATCTGGAAAAATAATAATCTTTAAAGTGTGTATATGTACATTTCCATCGCCCTATATCAGAAACCGGTTTGGATTTTCACTGCAGTTTGCAGTGATGCATTTATTGACCAAACATTTAGAAATAAACAAGAAACAGTAACTCAACCGATGACTAAA